TGGAAACTGCAGCGGGCCTATTGGCCCATACTGGGCAGTCCCGTTTACACCCAACCCCTATTGCTCATATAAGCATCCAACCTCTGTTTGAAGCTATCCAGCATATTCGAGTTAATGATGATATTTGGTAACTTGTTCCACTCGTCCACTAATCTGTTTCCAAACCAGTGTTTACATATTTCTTGCCAAATCTAAATTTTTCTAATTTAAAACCATTGTTACGAGTTCGCTCCTGGTTGAATAGTTGGAGTACCTTTGTAATGTCCCCTTTGTTTAGCCCTGACTTCCATTTATACACCTCTATCTACGTCTCTCGAGGGAGTGCAAATTAAGATGCTTTAACCTGTCTCTATACTCAAGGTTCCCAATGCCCCGGATTAGTCTTGTCATTCTCCTCTGAATCCAAGGATTCTATATCCATTCTGTAATACGGTGACCAGAACTGAGCTGCGTAATCCAGGTGTGGTCTCACAAGTGCAAGATACAGTTTTAGGATGACCTCGCTAGTCTTGTAACTAACACTCCTTTGTATGAAGCCAAGTATTGTACTTTATTAACCTTGTTACGTGCAAAAACACATTGTTTACTTGGCTTAAGGTTCCTGCTTCATTACAAGTACTCCTAAATCTCACTCGCATCTCAATGGCATCGTTGTTCATCTGGTAACTGGTTTCCCTGTTTACATCTCCTATACTGAGTACTCTACATTTGTCCACTTTGAATTTCATCTGCCATTTTTCAGACCATTCGAAAAATTTGTTTAGATCTTCCTGTAGTTTTGCGGAGTCCTCGTCAGATTTAATAACACGTCCTATTTTAGTGTCATCAGCAAATTTACTTGCGTTGCTGTCTATGCCGATATCTATGTAATTTATGTATATAATAAATAATAATGGTCCAAGTACTGAGCCTTGGAGAACTCCACTAGTGACGTTGCTCCAATGGGATTTAGTGCCGTTATGCTCACTCGCTGTTTCCTGTCCTGTAACCACGCCCTAATCCATTTAAGGATATTACCTTTGATGCCATGTGCTTCTCCCTTTCTAATTAGTCTTTCGTGGGGGACTCTGTCGAAGGCTTTGCTAAAGTCGAGATATTCCACATCATAATTGTGTTCCTCGTCCACTGATTCGAAAACTGATGAAAAGAATGTGAATAGATTAGTTAGACATGAACGCCCGCTTGTGAAGCCATGCTGGGAATCATTGATCAATCGGTGCTTCTCCAGGTGATTTCGAATAGAGTTTGAAATGATTGCTTCCAGTAATTTGTCTACTATTGATGTTAGACTGACTGCGCGGTAGTTAGAGGATAGTGATCTATCCCCCTTCTTGAAAATCAGTATTACATTCGCTATCCTCCAGGATTCTGGTACTACACCTGTTTTTAAGGACTTGTTAAATAACTTTGCTAAGGGCATACTAAGCTCTTCCTTACATTCCTTTAATACTCTGGCAAATATCTCACTGGGACCAGGTGACTTATTAGGCTTTAGTTTGTCTGTTTGCTTACTAACATCGTTACTAGTCACTACTATCTCGCTTAATTTGTTTTTTTCACTATCTCTGAATAGAGTCGGTGCCTCGGGTATCCTGTTTAAATTTTCGGTGGTGAAAACTGTTGAAAAATATTTATTCAAATTATTGCTCATTTCTCCGTCTTTATCAGTTAGCTCGCCGGTATCCGACCGCATTGGTCCAATCATTTCTCGTGTTTTAGTTTGATACATTTGGTAGAATCCTTTGGGGTTTGTCTTCGCCTCCCTTGCTATCCTTACCTCATTATTCCTGTTAGCTTTCCTATTCTCGCTTTTAACCCTACTCGCCAATACCTTATAATAATCCCGGAGGTAAATTTCGCCACGATTTATCCTTCTACCTATAGCCTTCCTTTGGCCAATGATGTTCTTTAAATAATTATTTATCCATTTAGGGTCATTGTTGTCTGATCTGAGTTTTTTGTATGGTATGTTCTGCCTTTGTGCATTAAGTAACTCCTTATTTAAATTGTCATGGAACTCGGCAATCTTGTTATCAGGTCTGTCTCAGCCGCCAGGTCGCCCTCTGTGGGTGCATTGAGTGAGGTCACCTCATGCGAGGTCATGTAGCTCACCCCCAAGCGCGACACCCCCTCCCTCAGCTGCCTCTGTCAAAGTTTGCCCTTCTGAAATCTGGTACTTTAGTGGAATTTTCCTTACGTCTGCCCTGAAAATCTAACTGGAATCTAATTTCTTTGTGATCGCTGTTTGCAAGCTCGTTCCCTACCTCAACATTGCTAATAAGGTTTTCTCTGTTCGACAGAACTAAATCGAGTATATTATTACCCCGGATGGGTTCGGTTATATGTTGACTTAGGAAACAGTCCTGGATCATTTCGATAAAATCCTCTGATTCTGAGTTACCCGTAAGGTCAGTCATTTTTCAAATGTGCTGACAGTTGTTTGTTAAGTCGCATTTACTTGGTGAACCCTATGGTGGTCCACTGTGCAGTCTCTTGAGTTCATGTATTTTTACTTTTCTTAGTTATTTCCCAACCTTTTATATTACATATTTATTTCTTATGATAAACAAATAGTGACTCTTTAAAGTTCATGATGGCAAAATCAACCTGCAGAATAATTTTTAAGATAGGTATTATTAAGTTTCCTTACCAATTCTGTGACACTTTTAAGTACAGTCAGTTCTGCTATAACGCAATAGTTGTGTTCTTGTAAAACATCGCGTTCTAGAAATTCCCGCAATAGAAATAACAGGGCTTATGGAGAAAATAGGGTTAGGTGCAGATTACTCGAAATCGAAAAAAAATTTAGTAGTTAGCCTAACACAAAGGATAGCACAGCCTAAATAAATGTTACATTCATATCTAATAATGAAATCATACAGTAAATGTTACACTTTACCTTGAAAAAATATGAATATAACTTGGTCCCAGATCGCTTTTTCGTTTGATCTTCTATCCAAACACTTAGAAGCCATTCCATCTCCTCAAGTTCCTTTGGCCATGATCTCACACTTTTGCTAGCACTCAAGGTTTTTCCAGCAATACAGCTTGCTTTAATCTTTCCTGCATTGTCTCTAATGGTGCGTAAAGTAGACTCCTTTATTCCCGTTGCATGCACAATATCACATGTTCTTTCCTTATTTTCAAAACGCTTGACAACATCAAACTTTTCTTCAAGTGTTATAGCCTTTCTTTTAAGATCACCACCGGAAATGCGATCACCAGAACGCTTCCCGGAGATATTCTTATTTTCCATAGTCACAAAATTGGAGAAACAGTAATAAAAAATCACTGAGGACGCTTAAAAACTTCCTACGTGTTTCAAACTGATCGTGTGGTGTAAACAGAGCGCGCGGGTCTAAAACGCTACGTATTTTGTTTTTCTCTCTTATTTAAAATTTTGCAATTTACATATACTGTACAGGTATACTGTATACATAAATGTTACATAAATTATTTCTGCAATTCTTCACAAACAAAACACAAATCAATTGAACATGTTCGTGTTTTACAAATATTGTTCTCTATTCATCAATTGCCTTACAACCAATTCACGTTGACAAAACACGCGTTATAGCAGAACTCACTGTATACAGATTTGGTTTAGAAACTTGGTAAATTAAATATTTTATTGTGAAAATGGAAATGCCGTTCTTATTGGAGGCAAATTGCTGGAAGCAATAGTAATTTAAAATAAATTTGATATTACCTCGAGAAACACAAATTGATCAACATGGCTTCACAAATGGGTGGTCGTGTCTGACAAATCTATCATCATTCTTTTCAACTGTTTTCGAATCAGTGGATGATGTACACGATTATGATGTGGTTTACCTTGACTTTAGCAAAGTCTTCGACAGGGTTCCCCACAAAAGACTAATGCTGTACGTAAAGTGGATGGAATTGGTTGGAGATGTTCTAAATTGTAGTTTAACACAATGTAACCTTTTTCTTCTCTATTTTCAATTTCTTTCTGTTCTTTTTTTTTCGCCCCCTAGGCCCCGTTGTGGGTCGTTTGATCTGTGCCCAGGTGGGCTAATTCTCATAAAAAAAAAAAAGACAGATACCTGATGAACAACGATGTTATAGAGAAATCCGACTGTGAGAAAGATTTAGGAAAATGATAAATAGGAATCTTAAGCCAAGTAAACAATGTGTATTTGCTCAAAACAAGGCTAATAAAATACTTGGGTTCATACAAAGGAGTGCTAGTTACAAAACTAGCGAGGTCATCCTAAAATGATATATTGCGCTTGTGAGACCTCACTTGGATTACGCAGTTCAATTCTGGTCACCGTACTACAGAATGGATATAGAATCCCCAGAAAGAATTCAGAGGAGAATGACAATACTAATCCCGGGCATAAGGAACCTTGAGTACAGAGACGTAGAGTGAGGGGCGATATGATCGAGGTTTATATATAGAAGTCAGGGCTAAACAAAGGTGACACTACAAAGGTATTCAAACTATCCAACCAGGAGCGAACTCGTAACAATGATTTTAAGTTAAACAAATTTAGATTTAAGTGCGAAATAGGTGAACATTGGTTTGGAAATAGAGTAGTGCACGAGTGGAACAAGTTACCAAATATCATCATTAACTTGAATACGCTGGATAGCTTCAAACATAGGTTAGATGGATATATGAGCGATAGGGGTTGGGTGTAAATGGGACTGCCCAGTATGGGCCAATAGGCCCATTGCAGTTTCCTCGATTCTTATGTTCTAAATCTTTGAAATACAGTATACATCGATTAAAAGTTTAGTTTTGTTTAAGACCATTTTAACGAGCCAATTATAAATAACTCTGTACAGTACTTTTTAAAATTATTTTACTTTACTAATTTTGTAGTCATCTATTTAATTATTCCATTTATCTGAATTTTATTTAATTTGCATTCATATCTATTAATTCATTCACTTACATCCTTCATCTTCTTTTACTGAATATGTTTTCATTTATCTAATGTATTTACTCATTCACTATTTTTCTCTTGCAGAACGCTGGTGAAGGAGAGTATGTCTTGCTGCCAAGGGGAGACTTACGGACCTCACCAGAACTTCATGTTGTGCCCTTCAGGATATCCCAGGGTCTCGCTGTCTAGTGGTGGCGATGGAGGGGTTCCTCCCTTACATCCTGGCATGACTCATAGACACTGGATGTCCTCCTCGTCACCTGTTGGGCAGCTTTCCCCTCCTCAACAGCCTGGAATGCATGGAGAAGAGTGGTGGAAGACCTCTCCTCTTCCTGTTCCTCCTCCTCTTGTTAACCAATCAAACCACAGCGGTGAAAACTTCTTCTGTAAAATGAAGGTTCAAAGTCAGGTCAAATTCCGACAGTGTGGTCAGTCTGTGGAGCACTCAAAGAATCCACAGGAATCATCGTCGTTCTTCCAGGTATCTACCATGGATAAAGGTGGTAAACCACAACCTATGTATCCTGAACACTATCCTCGACTGCCATGCTACCCACATCAGGGTTTGAAACATCCCCGTGCATTAAATTGTCAGCAAGCGACTCAGGAGCGGCTTCCCTACCCTCAACAGTATCAAAACCTTCCGAACAAATACCATCAGCAGCAACCTGGTTTCAGTACTTCTGATACACATCAAGAAGCCCCTGATCAACAACAGTCATCACTCCCCACACAACATATACAGAGACCATCCCCCTTCACTTTTCAGTACCAACAACAACAACACCTAGGGCGATCATTCCACCCTCCACACCTTCAGCACCAGGACATGGAGCGACCTTTCCGCACTAGCCACAACATACAGCAGGGTCATGAAGCACAGCCATTACTTCATTCTTGTCTTATCAAGCAACATTCCACGAGGTATCCCCAGCCGCCCTATCCTCAGTATACTATCCATCAACCACATCAGCAGCAACTTGGGCACCTGAGGAAAACAACTGCAGGAATTGCTCCTCACCGTCAACAGCAGGGAGGAGAGTCACATGCCAGTTACCAGGGATCACAGAGTCACGATCAACACCAACAGCATTACCCTCCCCGCAAACAGTTCCGGTCACCCCAGCAACAATACCAGTCACCCCAACACCAATCTCAGTCTCCCCAACAACAAACCCTGCCTCCCCAACAACAAATAAAGTCACACCAACGACAACCCCATCCATCCCAGCAACAATTCCAACAGTCCCAGCCTCCCCAGCAACAATTCCAACAGTTCCAGCCTCCCCAGCAACAATTCCAACAGTTCCAGCCTCCCCAGCAACAATTCCAACAGCCCCAACCTCCCCAGCAACAATTCAAACAACCCCAGCCTCCCCAGCAACAATTCAAACAATTCCAACAGTCCCAGCCTCCTCAGCAACAATTCCAACAGCCCCAACCTCCCCAGCAACAATTCCAACTCCTTCAACAACAAGGAGAACTCTCAGCCCAGCCAGAAGTGATCTATATCTCACCAGAGCCACCTAAGACTACGAAGGTCAACATCCAGCAGTTACCTCAGTCTTCAGCAGCTAGTAGAAGGTATGAGGACCAGCAGCAGCCCTCTCAAGGCCAGGAAGGAGGAGAACACTCGAATAATTTATCAAAACAAACCGACCATCAAGAAAATCACCTGCTCATCAGTTTGTCACTTACCCAACAGGATAGCATGGGATATCAAAAAACTTGTAAATATGAAAGGGCAATACAGACAGATATGGAAGTGATGCAATTTGTTAATCGCCTCAAAGAAACCGTGCAGAGCCAACCATCTCAATTAAAAGATGGCGGAAATGACGGTGAGAAACCAACTCGGTGCCAACACACAACTATTGGAAGTCAACAGCACGAGGAAAACAGATACAAGAATAAGGTCTTGCAGGGGCGGAATATTGAAGCTGGGGAACCAGACAGACGGGAAAGTCAACAAACACAAGAGAATGCCAAGGGTTCTCCTGACAGCCACAAAAGAGAACAACTCACTCAGAAATATCGACAAGGAAAATTTGCACGGATGTTGGAGACAGATTATTCCACACCTGCCAAACCTGAGGTAGCCTCCTCCTGCAGGTACAGCTCAGTCACCTCCTCAAAACACATGAATCAACACACTCCGGAGACTCCTGAACTAAATGGTATAAACTCGAATCCTTCCATGAACCAATCAGTCGACCACAGCATTAGTAACACCAGAGTCAACACTTCTATTGTCAGTGAAGTCCGCAGTGAGCTGTCTAGAGTCTCTGTGGATCCAGGCATCTCTTGTATCAGTGACAGAAATCCCATAAACACCACATCCCTCAGCCTCACACCTCCACCAACGCCACCCATATTCAGTCTCATACCGAAGCCGAGCAGCACAGTTAGTGAAGTAATACCTGATAATCACTTCATGAAGCAGCTTTCCAGTGTGTTCACTAACAAGATCACTTCTGGGGAGGCTGTGGATATGAAGACTGATACCTTAACAAATTCCTTCATGGAACCCACGACTCCCTACGGAGAAGACCCAACTGCTGCAATGAAAGACACAGCTGCTGTGACAGAACATACACCTTCTGTAATAACACACACATATTCTACAGTAGAACACATGTTCGCCACCTCCAAACACACACCTGCCCCTATAGTTCTTTCTCTCAACATTCCACAAGTGTCACTGGACTTCCCAGAGGCCACACATGGTACCTCAGGTGGGTTTACGATTCTAGATGCAGTGACGTCCACACCACAAGGCTCGCCTAAGCTTCAGGAATCTACCAGTACCACAGGACAGACTCAGCTTAAAGACATCAATATCCAGGGGAGAGCTTCTCCATGTGTCACCACAATAGCTCAACCATTTCCAAGAAGTTTGACCATGAAGAGTAGACTCAAACAATCATACAGTAAAAAAAATCCTGAGAAAGAGGACATCTGCGGAGATCTTTGCCTCAATGCTAGATTTTCCATGTACCTTCCTCCTCAGCTTGAGTTCCCTTGCCTGTTGTGTGGTATTATTGTCCCCAGTGAGGAAGCAATCTATCACCTCTTCTTTGGGCAGATCAAGTGTGCTGCCTGTAAACTGTCCATCAAGACTTGTTGGGAGTTCAGGAGTATGGAGATCTTAGACATACCGTGCGAGAAAGAGACAACAGGAGAGCACAAGTACCTCGAGTGGTCATCTGATCCGACTTCCTTCGTGTCTTACCATATGAGCAAAAGTCTTGTGACGAGGAACTTCTATGCTGGTAAAGACACATCCCCATCAACCACAGATCTCATCTCTACAATGGCCAAGTTCCTCAAAAAGTTCTCAGCACTGGAGCATCACAGTCCCTGGGAACAGGCAATAAGGAAATGCTGGAAGTTTGTGAGGAACATGCAGTCGATGACTAACTTGACTAAACATCACTTGAAACAGAGGAGAAAAAAGTCCTTTGATAAAGATTGTGAGAATTCTGTAGGTTTGTCGAAAACTAATACTAACAAAAACAAACCAGAAGAGACTGTTAAAGCAGAAAGTGAGAGCTCAGTTCCTTGGAGAATAGAGAAAACACAAACACTCACAAGTTCTGAAGTGGAGGAAGTGGAGAGAACTCTTCAACAAGAAGAGACAAAGATAAATGCCGGAAAAGCTTATATCTTGAGCATTAGTGAAGAAAACATTTTGACAGTAGAAGCCGAAGAAGCCTCTTTCAGTAGTGCAGGGGACAAGCAACACAGTGAGGCAGTGCAGACTGTGGGGCATCAAGCTGAGAGAAAATTGTCCTTTAAATCTCCTGTTGTTAGCCCAAGAAGCACCATAGATACAATGTTACCAGTAAACTCTGACCAAGCAATCTTACTAAACACTAGTGATCCTGATGTTGCCAAGAACACCTTTGAGGAGACCCTAGAAAGTCCTGATATACAGTCAAAATTCGGGGACTTCCTTCTATCACTGCCATACAACCAAGATATGCTGGAGAAGGTGATTCAGTACGTGTCTCTCTTTGATGACGAGGTGAAGGAGGACTCAGATGTCAGCAAGGCGTCACCTCCCGCGAATATAAGGGATTTAAGTTCAATCACAGCCCAAGACCAATCTCTCATAGTTAACTCGGCATCTACAACAAAACAAAGTCCTTCTCGAACCAAAGACTCAACTTCCGGATGCTTGCGAGAGAGACAGTGCATACCAAGGAAGATGATACACAAATCCATGCCGAAATCAAGGAAAAAGAGATTTCTTGATGCCTATAGCTCTGAGCTTAACGCAGAGAGAGACCCAGCTCCTCCACAAGATGCTACTCAGAATTCTGGTGGCCAAATACTCGATGGTGACAACTTCCTTCTGTACAACATCCCGAGCTGTCAGGTTCCCGAGGAATGTCCCATGTGTTACACTTCCATCTGTCCTACCATATTTACCATAAATATTAAGACTTTCAGGTTGAAGGGCATCTGTCCAGGCTGTGACCTGATCATCTACCTAGTGCAGGACCCACCTGAACGCTCATTCGTTCTTAAGAAACCTGGACCAAAAGAACAAGACGAAAGGGATACTAAAACACAATTAGTGGCATAAACGATGTATTAATGTGTGCCATACATAACGTGCCAGTATATGTTTGGTGTCAGACAATACCAAGTGTTACATATTAAGATTGGAATGACTTATCTCGTGTCAGATAACAATGTGCTCTTATACACAAAGTTCCTAATTATGTTCATTTGTCCTCGATTGGATTTATTTTGATGTTTCTGTTTAATTATTTTACTTTTAAGTCAAGGAAATATTATGTTTTTACCTGTGATGTAGCTACCAGGCACTGTAGTCTACTCCATAAACAAGACCAGAGCCAATTCTAGTATTTTTGGTTCATCTGAGAATGAGCCTCCAAGTGGTCACCTAAAGTTGTGTTCCCAGTTTAACCAGTCTTGAGTTTAACCCTTTGGATGAGGATTTAGTTTTCAAGTAACATTCTCAAGCAGTGTCAATTCTCCTGTGAAATATCATATTGGTAACTGGTGCTTTTTTTTCTACTTTTCTTTTTGATCAAGGCCAAACTACAAAGTTTCCATATATGGCATTAATATTTTTTTATAAATAATTTTGTCAACAGAAAAATAAATATTGAGACTTGAAAAAAAAACTTATGTTCTATGTGACCATACAGCTCCAAATGACACAACAAACGAAAACACTTGTCAGTCTCATTGTCTCTCTTTGCTCAAGCTGAACGAATCAATGTACAATTTTTTTTATACTTATATATTGATAAATGTAATAAATTGTCTACCCTGCACTGTACAGAATTACTCTTTAGATAAAATTTGCTCAAATTTTCTTTTGTATTTAGTATACGAACTTCTTATGACTGTCCAGTATGTCATAATCATCACCATATACAGTATCATACTGTACCAGAAACATATAACATGCTGTGAATATATATAGTATGTCCCAGAAAAATGTCCCTGCTCCCTCCGTCCCACCCTCTAACACAATCTCTCAGGGAGTTGACATGGACATTTTTCTGAGACACTCTATACATGTACTATACTTATCATAGAAATATGTACTATACAAGTAAAGGCCCACCTGTAGAAATGCCCCACTGTGTTTCAAACTAACACTGTCTACACACGTCTTTCATAACATAACCAAGAAGTTTTTGCCCCATGATGCTATGTAAATATATATGGAATTTGTTATTGTCGTCTTACTCTCCCACCCAGAATAAAGATATTACACTTATTTATTATACAATGATAAAAGTAACCCAGTGGTACCTATATAACAAAGGTAAATATATAACAAAGGTAGTCATCTAATAAAGGTATATCTATATGACATTGGTTTAAGACTGATCTATTACTATGGTACTAAAACATTGGTTATACGAGGGTGTAAAATGAACAGTGATTCCTATACTACAGTATATAAAGGAACCTATGCTACATAAAGGGGCCTATACAACTTAAAGGAGCCTTTACCATATAAAGGAGCCTGTACTATATAAAGGAGCCTATAATACACAAAGGAGCCTATACTATATAAACGAGCTTATAATACACAAAGGAGCCTATACTATATAAACGAGCTTATAATACACAAAGGAGCCTATACTATATAAAGGAACCTTCAGTATACTACACAAAGGAGCCGATACTACACAAAAGAACCTATATTATATAAAGGAACCTATTCTACACAAAGGAGCCTATACTACACAAAGGAACCTATACTACACAAAGGAGCCTATACTATATAAAGGAACCTATACTACACAAAGGAACCTATACTATATAAATGAGCTTATAATACACAAAGGAGCCTATACTGTACTATATAAAGGAACCTACAGTATACTACACAAAGGAACCTATACTATATAAAGGAGCCTATACTACACAAAGGAGCCTATACTATCATAAAGGAAGCTATACTACACAAAGGAGCCCTTTAGTATTTAACAATTTCATTCATATTAGTTTAATTCCAATTTCGCCAAACTGGTTTTTCAATTTAAACACAGGTTGGATAGTTTGAGTACATTTGTAATGTCCCCTTTGCACTCGCTCGAGAGAAGTAGAGCGAGGGGCGACCTGATAGAGGTGTACAAGTGGAAGGCAGGGCTAAACAAAGGGGACATTACAAAGGTACTCAAACTTTCCAACGAGGAGCGAACTCGTATCAATGGTTTTAAATTAGACAAATTTAGATTTAGGCGAGAATTAGGTAAACACTGGTTTGGAAACAGAGTAGTGGATGAATGGAACAAGTTACCAAATATCATCATTAACTCGAATACGCTGAATAGCTTCAAACATAGGTTGGATGCTTATATGAGCAATAGGGGTTGGGTGTAAACGGGACTGCCCAGTATGGGCCAATAGGCCCGCTGCAGTTTCCTCCATTCTTATGTTCCTTTCACTCCTATATAGGTCAACTAACCTCACTCTGACCTCTCAGGCGACATGTGGTAAGTGGTACATTAGCAGCTTCCAGATGTCGCCAGGCACATTTATCTAAGCGTGTGGTGACATGAAACAGGGGCATTGCCACACGCTACTGACTAGAGAAATAATGTGTATATATAGAGTACATACATGGTATACATACAACATACATAATATACATACAATAAGTGTGCCCCTCGTCCACCAATTCGAAAATTGATGAAACAATGGAACCTACAGTATACTACACAAAGGAGCCTACAGTATACTACACAAAGGAGCCTCTACTACACAAAGGAACCTTTACTACACAAAGGAACCTATACTAAACAAAGGAACCTACAGTATACTACACAAAGGAGCCTATACTATGTAATGATTGTTTATCAGACTACAGCTTACAGCCCAGAGAATTACAACACATAACAGTAAATAGATGCCCTGGTGGTAACCCACATACCAAGTTGACACACCCTATTGTGACCCAGGAGACCTGACCCCGGCCACTAAGTACTTGAGTTAACCAGGTGATATGACCTATAACCACACCTTGCCAAGACACACCCAGCTTAGTGTTAATTGGGAGAGGTCATTCCCTGGTTGGTTCTCCTCCATATAAAGGCCCTGCAGTCCAGTCCACGGGTCATTAGATTCCTGATTCAGATTCCATTGGGATGACAGAGGACAGAGTCACGCTATATATACTTACATCTAAAAATCCCCCACATTACAACTGCATAAAGGAACCTATACTTCACAAAGGAACCAATACTACACAAAGGAGTCAATACTACACAAAGGAACCTATACTACACAAAGGAACCTATACTACACAAAGGAACCAATACTACACAAAGGAACCTATACTACACAAAGGAACCTATACTATCACAAAGGAACCTATACTACATAAAGGAGCCTATACTACATAAAGGAGCCTATTCTACATTAAGGAACCTGTACTACAAACGTAGTTTCCACTGAACAACCGAGGCCATACACACTTATATCGTATCATCAGACTCAGATAAGTCCCTTGTGTACTAAGTGACCTTGGTAACTCTCCCCGAACGAAACTTTAAGTGTATATAGAGATTCCAGTGTTATTGGTCTTTTTTCTTTCGTCTTTCGCACATCAGTTCAAGGGAAAGTTGATTGTGAGATACCAGAGGTTTTATTTTTTTAGTTTAGCAAATTTACTAACAAAGCTTGGAGTACAGTTTGCCTATTCTGAGTAATTCAGTCAGGCCTTGACACTGAGGGTGGCATCACTTCTCACTGCCACGCAGGACAGAGGTTCATACACAAAATACAAAATATTCATTAACAGTATATATAGGTCAGAGTCATGTGGGTGATATCACTTCTCACTGCCACGCAGGACAGTGGTTCATATACTGTACATTGGACGTCATATCCTAATTGAAGACTAATCAGTGTGGGCTAGCAGCAAATTTTGGATAAACAGCAAGAATGTCCCTAAGCTCCCCCGATTCAATGTAGTAATTACAAAGTTCATGATACAATAAGCCAGGTGGCCTGAAGTCTTTGGCAGTGTCACATTCAATAATATAGTGTTCAAGCGTATGATTTAAAGGTTTATCACAAAGTTTACATCTGAGTGTTCCGGTATGGGTACAGCGTTACTAACTTGCCAGATGTGTCTGTATCCTAGCCAAATTCTCGCCTATCACATTGTCTGGTTCTCTCCTTATGCTGGCCATACCGGTACCACTCGTCACAAAATTTGTTATATTTACTAATGCTACAACTGCCAGGTCTCTCTGCATTTCTCAGTTCTTCTAGAGGTGAATAGAGATGAGGTAACCCCATCTTATTTCACCTGAAGATAAACAACCCTGATACTGCTTGGGGGGGAAGTTAAGGGTAGGGTGGGTGATCTTCATGTGAAAATAAATAAGCTAAACTTCCTAACCAAAATGCATTGTGCTCATTCACTACCTTCATATTAATGGTGGTAATGAGAGAGGGATGGTGGTGATGAGAGAGGGATGGTGGTGATGAGAGAGGAATGGTGGTAGTGAGAGAGGGATGGTGGTGATGAGAGATGGATGGTGGTAGTGAGAGAGGGATGGTGGTGATGAGAGATGAATGGTGGTAGTGAGAGAGGGATGGTGTAGTGAGAGAGGGATGGTGGTGATGACAGAGGATGGTGGTAAGAGTGAGAGAGGATGGTGGTGATGAGAGAGGGATGGTAGTGAGAGAGGGATGGTGATAGAGAGAGGATGGTGGCTTTGGGCTTGGCTGGCTGTGTGTTGATGATAATTTGTCAGCTGGGAGAGAGATTGTGGTCTCTCTCTCTCTCTCTCTGGGATTTTGAAACTTTTGAAAAATTTAGATCAAAGATTAAGGCGGCGGCCCTACTAAAACGCTTCTTGTAAGGCTTAAGGTTATAAACTCTCTTTAGAACTCGTGTTACCGCGGTGTTATAGGACGACTGCTGCTCACGGTGTCCAGTCCCTCGAGCGTTGTACACGTCACCACCACCATCGTAGCCACCGTCACTAACACCACCACCATCACCACTACCATCACCGCCGCCACCACCACCGTCGCCACCACCATCACCACTAACACCACCACCATCACTACCACCACCACCACGATCACCACCGTCTCTACTGCTATCCAACGTCACTTCCCTAGCAAACAAGTTTGACGAGCTGGCAACTACAGTCAGGTCAGCCGCCGCGAGCGTCGTTGCCATATGTGAGGCTTGGCAAATTGTGCCTGAAACGTGTCATATTGAGGGATGTCAACTCTTTCATCACCTTCGTTCACATAGACGCGGATGGGGGCGTTGCCCTCTTCTGTCAAGATGACCTACGCCCGTCACGCCTGGATGTTCAAGTCCCAGCAGATGTGGAAGCATTATGGGTACGTGTTGTGCCACGGGCCCACCCACGCCACTGCTTCCATCATAATCTGTGTGGCATACCATCCGCCTCGCTCATCCACCAGAGACACCCTTATCAATCATCTCATTACCACCTCAGACCACCTCAGAGTTAGGTACCCATGTGCCAAGTTAGTATTATGTGGGGATTATAATGAAAATGACACCACTGATATCCAGGACTAGCTATCACTATCACAAGTTGTGAATTTCCCCACACACGGTCAAAATACCCTTGACCTTATCTTAACTGACTTAGCGGACCAGTACCAACCACCTCAACCAATGCCTCCTATCGGGTGTAGCACACACTAATCAGTGCTCTGGTCCCCAGCTGCCACTCCCACTCAAGTACAGAGACCCTGCATCAAGACCTACAGGCCGATTACTGACTCTGCAGTGCGCCTCTTCGGGCAGTGGATAGTTCACCATCCCTGGACTGAAGTACTTAGCGTGAATGAAGTGGAAACCAAATGGATAAATAATACCAACACCACCACGGAAGCTCACCACCACTTCTTCCCTGAGAAGTCCGTCAGATCTCACTCAGCTGACTTGCCCTGGATCACACCTCGGATCAAAAGCCTTTCATCTCAATGACCACATCCGCTACAGGTCCCTTCGCAACCGAGTCATCCGCGAAATACGCACTGCAAAGAAGTCCCACTACCCAACCAAATTACAACACCTGAAGCAGACCAACATCAGTCAATGGTGTGGTAAGCTTAAAGAACTCTGTGGACTAAACAATAAGACACACCCCCTCCCCTTCCTTAGCCATCTCACTAATGTTGACGCAGCTGAGCAATCAAATAACCATTTCGCTACTATAT